ATAGATAGATAGATAGATAGATAGATAGATAGATAGATAGATAGATAGATAGATAGATAGATAGATAGATAGATAGATAGATATATTGATAGATAGATAGATAGATAGATAGATAGATAGATAGATAGATAGATAGATAGATAGATAGATAGATAGATAGATAGATAGATAGATAGATAGATAGATAGATAGATAGATAGATATATTGATAGATAGATAGATAGATAGATAGATAGATAGATAGATAGATAGATAGATAGGAGAGCCCTGCATGAGTGACTTAAATAATAAATTAAAACATTTGATTTTTTTCAAACACTGTGTTTGACTCACTCATTGTTTTATGAATGAAATGAATAGTATATTTGAAAATAAGGAATGTTAGTCAATACTCAATTCAAACGAAACAAGTAATGAAAGTGTTTGTGTGATTCAATTCAAGTAGTATACAGTGAGTGAATCGAGTGAAAGCAAAACAATTTTTAAGTTCGACAAATTAACAGATTTTTTGAATATTACTTCGAATTTTCGAACTTAATTTCGAATAGTCGAAGATAATATAGTAGCGTCATCAACTGTACTTAACACTGCCAAATTTCAGCCAATTTGGTCCACGGAAACTGGTTTTATCAGCTTTAAATTTTTTTCGAACATGAGTTCGAATTTTCGAAAATTTTTTTTTTAGTTTTTTGGACTCAAAGAATAATTTAAAAGCATAAAAAATTTTTCGAACATAACTTCGAATTTTCGAACTTAATTTCGAATATTCGAACATAATATTATCTTGTCATCAATTGTACTCAAGACTACCAAATTTCAGCGAATTCGGGCCACAGGAACTAGTTTTAACAGCATTCAAAATTTTCACCATTTATTCAAGAAAAAGTTTGAATCGATTCATTCGATTCAAACAATCTATTTTGTATTGTTTTAACATAAACAAATTGTTTACTCGCTCGATTTGAATGTAGTTGCACATTCACTTGATAGTACTCACAACGTTTGAGTATAACAAAACTTTGTAAATACTATTCTAAACAAACAATGAGTTGAGTGCAAAGCAATGAGTCACTCATTGTGTGTAGCAAATAGAGTTACTCATGCAGGGCTCTAATAGATAGATAGATAGATAGATAGATAGATAGATAGATAGATAGATAGATAGATAGATAGATAGATAGATAGATAGATAGATAGATAGATAGATAGATAGATAGATAGATAGATAGATAGATAGATAGATAGATAGATAGATAGATAGATAGATAGATAGATAGATAGATAGATAGATAGATAGATAGATAGATAGATAGATAGATAGATAGATAGATAGATAGATAGATAGATAGATAGATAGATAGATAGATAGATAGATAGATAGATAGATAGATAGATAGATAGATAGATAGATAGATAGATAGATAGATAGATAGATAGATAGATAGATAGATAGATAGATAGATAGATAGATAGATAGATAGATAGATAGATAGATAGATAGATAGATAGATAGATAGATAGATAGATAGATAGATAGATAGATAGATAGATAGATAGATAGGTGATGTCATAACTTAGAAAATATGTCTACCAAATTTTATGTGGATCGCCCCATAATAGTCGGTTTTTATTTGTCAATAAATAATCAAAAATCTTTAGAATTAATATAAAATTCATCATAGATAATTTGTTATTAAAAATTAATCACTCACTTCTGAAAAGTTTAGTCCATAATAGTCTGTCCACCTAAAATCATCCTGATTGTCGTATTAACAGCGATATATAGTAAGGTTTTGATAGTGGTTATAAAATAATCGACACAATTGAACTCAGAGATGGAATTTTTAATCAAAAAATTATTTTTTTATATTTAATTTAAAATGAGAACGATTTGTTTCTTATTCTAAAAGAATTATATATTATTAAAAAGAGGACATTGAAATTTAAAAAGATAAATTATATTATATCTCTAACAAAAAAGTGCAAAGAATTTAATATTGCAGTACTTTTATACTGCCATACCGACCACTGCATTACCACAACAAGCTTAAGCTTACTACGGAGATTTTGTTGAAAGTTTAAACAAAATTATTTACCGATATCAGTGATGTCATTAACGTCACAATGTCAAATATAATGAATGACACATCATAAATATGTATATGTATGTATGTATATCTATTACTCATAATTGCATTAATTTTTATTTATTTTTTCTTACACTCAAAATACTTGAAGATAAAAATAAGAAAAGGAAAATAATAATTAAATAAACCGGCACTTTACTGTAAATTAAAGTGAGAACATTTATTAAGAAAAAATAAAAATATTTAAAATAAATACATACGTCAATCTCATGTACATTATATACATACATACATACATATGAAGAATATCAACATTAGTAGGATGACTATGTATAAAATAAATTTTAAAAAGACAACAATAACAATATAATGATATATATATTTATAATTATTTTTAAATACTATTATTATAT